TACGATCCAAATGGTTAAAAACTCTCTTTAGGAATGTGTTTTGGGAGGAGATATATGCGTAATTTTTATTTTTATTTTTTACAATTTTGATGCACTTATTAGTTAATTAATGAAGGGTTCATTTACATAATAAAAAGGGGAGTTAGTTTACTATTTGTATCATGTGAAATGATATTTTTCATGCCAATATTTGTTTTAATTCAGCCTTAGAATTAATGGTTTTGAAAAAAAAAAAAAAACAGGATTAGACATCTATCTAATATACAGTAAAGTTATAATATTCTCGTTGAATACATCAAAATGGACATCTCATCTACTTCTTTTATTTAATTTTATTTTTTATTAACTAAGATTATCTCGAGAAAATTTCTATACAATTAATTAAAAATATAGATTAAAAAAATAATCGAGTTGGGTTTTTTATTTAAAATGTTATAATAAGTTTTACGACAGTAGCAAAGTTATTTTAAGATTAAATATTTTTTGATTTAAGCCTCCGCGGAGAGCTTGGTAAATAAACTGGGAGGTACTCTTAAGTCAAGAATGAATATGACGCGTTCAATCTTGGTGTCTTGTGCATCTGCGGTGCTGGTTTTTCTTCTAACCATAGAAATGATTAATGCGTTGACCACCTCTACCTATCGTTAATGATTAATGCGTTGACCACCTCTCCCTATTGTTTAATTTTTCTCGTTGTCACCCAAATAATGAGTGACAAAGCAGGGAACCTTCGCTTTGGCGGAGCCATCAAACTTCTTGAATATTTCAATCACCATGATTACATGGATGAACTGATAAAGCCAGTTAACCTGAGGTTCATTCATTCAAGGCAGTCAGAAACCACAATAGTAGACTTGAGGGATCAAAATCGGAGCAGGTTTGCTCTGTTTTTGCCTCAACCTCTCGGCTTTTGAATCATGTGCCAGCATATAATAACCTATTTCTGCTGTGGTCTAAAAATACTGTGTCCAAACGGATTCAGCTCCGACAGCTTGCGATCAAGCTTGAGCCTCATGCTGCAACATCCTCACGAAACATGAGACTTGAACCAGACGTTGATCTCCGGTCCAACGCTTAGTTTAAACCATGCTATTGAATTATCCATCCATGTTCTTTGCTTGAATTAGAAACACAGAAAATAATTGAAGAGAGTCGGTTTTGACCATTTGTTCTTGCCCTTTTGCCTTGTGGTTTTTCTTGGTTTACTGGGAGCTTGTTATTTCTATTTTCTATGCTCTTATCAATTAGAAATTAGGGGAGGCTCGAGTCTCGCTATAACATGTCTCAATATTGCTTTGTTTCTCTTCACTCCATAAACCAGATATGAAGAACAGAAGAATTGCGCAAATAAATAACCCAGAAAACTCATAGAAGGAGATTCTGATAAGAATATATATAAACCTTAACAATAACTAGTTTCGTTCTATAACTTTCTGTCATACTAGTTCTTGTCATCACCAACTCAGAAATCTGATGATACCCAATTCATTATTCCATTCTGCAAATAGAGAAATCAGTTTATCCTGTGCCAAACTCGAATCATGAACAACTTTCATTAACAATAAAACCACAGAAATACAGTCCTTCCATAAACACAATTCTATGTTTTTTTTTTTCTTTGCGCAGTACTTTAAAACTCACAATTACTAGAGCCTCCGCAAAGATATAAGAAACTATACATAGCAAGGAAAAAAAAAAAAACAAGAGCAGAAAGTATGATCCCAGATAACATTAGAGAAACTAATGTCAAAAATGGCACCCACAACAAAGAAAAAAGAAGCACAAGGAAACAACCAAGACAATAGCCTCTAAAACAGAGACAAGCTTGAAAATCAAATCATCAAAAAAAGAAAGCTGTATGTTAAGCCTTTTCCACTTAAAAGCAGATCCCATAAACTTTAATCTCCACCCCCATGATTCCTTCAACTTTAACCTCTTAAACGGCCATATTTTCCTCTTCTTGCTGCTGTTGCTTCCCCTGCTGCTATTTCCATTCCTTCCTATATCCCCTTCCATTCAAATTCTCTATCTCTAAAAGGGTTTCTGGCTTTCTCTCTGTAATATGTGATCTGTTGAGAGAAAGAGGAGTGGGATTGCTGGTTATGGGAGAGGGAGATTAAGCTCTTTCCTTTTCTTTTTATTAACGAAAACCTAACGGGGAGAAGGAGGGCTTGTTCTTTCTATTTTTTTTATGGGGCCTGTTGAGGGTATTTTGATAATTGCATATACTGAGGACTCGCTGACACGCGTTTTGATTGATTTTTTTATGTCAAAAAGTCAAAAATTATATTTGAGGCGCCTTTTTTAAGGAAGGTGCTGTGAAATGCTGGAAGCCTGGTTTTTAGACCAGGTCGTTCTTGTAGCTGGCCGGGTTCAAAGTTTAAGTTTTGGGTTTTGTTCCGTTTATCAGGTTATTAATTTTTTTAAAACAATTTAAATAATATTTTTTTATAAAAAATAAAAATTATAAATAATTTTTTAATTTGATCTTTCTGGATTAACCAAGTCGTTAGATCAATTTACTGGGTCAGCCAAATCATATCAGATTTTTTTTCCTTGCTCGTTCCAGCACCGGTTAGGCCTGATCCTAAATAAACTTATAGAGTTGAGTTAGATTTTAAAACTATAGGTAGAAAAGTGAATTTTATTGATGGTGTCGTTTTTAGATGCATGTTTATAAACATATTGTTTTAAATATTATTTTTTTTTAAAAAAATAATTTTTATTTTAAATTTTTAAAAATTATATACTAATATTAAAAATAATTTTTTTAATTTAATATATTTCTAAATAGAAAATACTTTAAATTATTATCAATACAATAATCAGAAACCTACCGTTTTAAAAAATTTACCAACTTAAATAATTTTTTTATTTTATTTTAAAAAAACTAAATTAATTTGGATAAACTTACAATTGTGATCCAAAACTTGTGTAAAATTCAAATAGAGAAAAACTATGCTAAACAACCATTTTGTAATTTAATATATTGGTAGGTCGATGGATATTTAGTGAGATAATAAATATATTGATGTATTCAATTTTACTTTCTATACTTTTATTCCCAGGGAAAAAGCACCATCTAAGCTAATTATACTGCTCCTTATCATCAACAGTTTTCTAATGGCCATCCACTACCATTGTAATGATTCATTTATTACATGTATCGTAAACAGATGAAACAAATATCTACTAGATAGAGTTTTCGTACCTGATTTTTTCGGTTGTTGGTATCACCTCGATGCATAGTTATCCAACATAACCTGGGATTAATCTGGTTAAGGAGTTGGATTGCGGGTTATATACATTAACATTGAAAAATTAAAAAATATTTAAAATTTTATATAAAAACAATTCATGTAAATATAAATATAAACTATTTATATTATAAATAATAAAATTTTAAAAAATATATTAAAATTTTTTATTTCACGTTACAAAAACATAACTTTTTTCTTATAAATATAAAATATATATATTGAAAAGTTTTAAATTCTACATTAAAAAAGTAAAATATTCTTTTAATATTTATATAATGAATTTTAAAAAGGATTAATATCCAATCCACGTTACAAAAACATAACTTTTTTCTTATAAATATAAAATATATATATTAAAGAATTTCAAATTCTATATTAAAAAAATAATTTTTATTCTTAAAAATATTGAACATGTATACTAAAAAATTTTAAATCTTGCTTTAAGAAAATATTTTTTTTTATGAATATAAAATATATATACAAATATTGAATATGTATACTAAAAAAATTTAAATCTTGCTTTAAGAAAATAATTTTTTTCTTATGAACATAAAATATATATATTAAAAAGTTTTAAATTTTGTATTGAAAAAATACTATGCTATTTTTATGCTATTTTTTTAAGTTGAAATATTTATATTGAAAAAATACTATGCTATTTTTTTAAGTTGAAATATTTAAACCAGAAATTTTTTTATTCCACATTAAAAAAATATAATTTTTTTCTTGTGAATATAGAATATATATATTAAAAAACCTTCAAATTTCACATGGAAAAAAATAACTTTTTCTTGATAATATAAAATATATATACTAAAAGATAGAATATCATTCTAATATTTATATAATAAACTTTGAAAATAGTTAACAATTAACTAAAAATTTATATATATAAAGTCTAGGAGAAAATCCATATTTAAAAAAAAAAATCTCATCCAAATTTATCTAGGTTATGGATCAATCCACCAGGTTTTTACACTAACCAGGTTTTTACCTTACCCGAACCCATTTAATCACTGAGCCGACCTGTATGCCAATCCGAGTTACCTACAATCCAAGTTTAATACCTATGTCCAAAGCTTATGCAAGCATTTATGAGTGTCAATAATGAAATATTGTAACCATAATAAAGTACTAAATCCATATTATTAGCTACTCGACCAAATTTGTCCTGGGACCTGTTTAAGGTAACAGGCAGCAGAGGGAGCTTAATGGTGGCCCGCTTGGAATACTGACAGCAGGCATGTGAGGGGAAAAGAAAGCAACCATGCATGCTTGAAATCTCATCTCCTTGTCCCTAGCACCCAACACCAGCAGGATAACAAAAGAAAGAAAGAGGTTCAGAGCATAAAAAAGGGAGCCAAAGAGCGTGAGGCACAGATACGAGCAGCCAATGTCATGCATTGCTCCCATAAAGTGATGTGATATCCACTTGGGTCACTTTAAGAGGATTACAACTTGGATCCACCTGTATATTGTATTATAAAGACCTAGATACCGCGCTGACACTCCACTACCTTAAGGGACTGCAAAAGGTCAGAAAAGCACCATACATGCATGATCATGACATTAATGTCTCTAAATTCCCAGCGGATGAAGCATGAGAATGGCACAGCAGAGCATTAGGGGGCACTAAAGCATGTCGAAAGCATAAAGGGAGAATATAGGACAGAGCAGCAGATTTTTCAGGAAGCCATTGCCCACACAAATTAAAGCCATTAAACATACAACCTAGATCTAGCACCGAATAAAACCGATATCTATAAGCAAATGCTCAAACAAAAAGATCCATATGAAGCTCTCATAAAGGAGGAGCATAGCATTTAGTTATATTTAGAGTACAACACGAAATAAAACCACAATAGCTGTAACATGCTGGACAGAATAACTGACAGGCAGGAAAAAGTACAGATACTGCAAGTTTATTCGAACGCCCCCACTCTTCCTTCTATTGAAGAGATCACAGTAAAACGTTTTATAGAAGAATTCGAGGGACTAACCACCATGCCATCACTATGCAGCGCCCCTATGCTAAATAGTTGGGGAAGGTTGAACACCTCGTGAGCTGCCAATACCCTCCTCCGTCTAAATTCCAACTTAACACGAGAGAGGAGATAACCAACTTGAGAACAGGATGCGGATATGTTAAAAATAAAGCACATTTACCACGGAGATTAAGTTCAAGTTTAGTTCTTGAAATTGCCAACCCCAAGCTTTTGCACTTCGACTTTGAGAGATTTGAGGTACCTGACAGCTTCATCTAGAACAGTAACAGTATTCATTTGGTCGCCACCAGGTACAATACCTCTCAATGTCTTCACCATTTTCTTCATTTTCTGCCGTTTCCTCTCACTGTTAGAGCTGCTACCACTGCTAGAGCACTTCTGGACAGAAGATCCATTTTTCATGGGTTTTGCACCATAACTGGAGCAAGAATCGGGGGAGCTACTTCCATAATTTCTGCAGGTGCGTGCAGTGCTGACCTCTTCCCCATCACACTCTTCTGGATCTTCCTCTTCCAAACTCATTAATGCATCAATATCATCTGAATCTTCCTTCAGAGATGATGAAATTTCTCTTTCAACATTGTAGGTGTCTGTCCTTTCAAAATTCTCTTGGATGTAGGTTGGATGGATATCAAAGCCAGGACCACCATGATTGTGGGCAACTGCAGGATTGTACATAACCTGGCTTCGGTGATCAGCTTGATCAAAAATAATGAATTTCCTCGGACGAATCTCTGAAGATTGAAATTCAATTCCATGCACAGGCATCAAGTGCTTTGCAGCTAGAGGTTGAACTGCAGAAAAAGTAGTTGCGACTGGAAAATGCATGTTATTATTGTCAACTTGATTTGTAAGTGGGGGCATTGCCTCTTTCGAGCGGAAGTACCGATCACTATGCATCAGATGTTTTTCTTCAATCAACAATTTTGCAATAGTAATGGATTTTGGGTCTCCTATTGGCAATTATTCAGTATTCAAGTGATGAAGATCTAAGCTGATGAAAAGACTATATAGCAAATCAAGTTACTGCCATCCTGGCATAAAAGAGCTGCCTATCCAAAATGAACCACCAGAATCAAATTCTTTATCCCTGTCTAATGTATAACCAACAAAAGCCGTCCCAAATCCCAACGACTGGAGCTTTGTAAGACTAGACTACGTAACAGGCTTAAGTAACTGGCGGAAATACTCAGCCTGAAATAACAACAGAAAATTTTCATATATTAGTTGGGCATATCAATGGACTCAATTGCATAATCCAAAGTTAAAGGTTCAAGAGAAGTAAACAGGAAGCTATGAATAAAAGCAACCATATAGAGGTAGAACAGCCAAATGAATATTATTTCATACAAAGATATGATACTGCCAGATAAAATGAAAGACTCAAGCACATCATTCTAAACTCAGGTAAGATTTACAGTTGATTTAGCAAAAGCAACCAATTTCTCCCATTAGAGCAGATAATGTTTCTAAGTCGAACAAGATTCCAAGATGCAATACCTGTTGGGACACAACAACCCACTCAACAACTGGAAAACAGAATTTATCAACCAACAAACTAAAGAGCAGCTACTTTGTAGCATACAATATTGCTTCAGAGAGAAACAAATATCACAGCAAATTAGCATAAAATGAACAGAGGAAGTCTTGTATTCACAATGAGTTCCCTAGAACTTGGTTCCTTAGTTTACCAGTCCTAAACACAAGGAGAGGACGGGGAAAAAAATAAAATGCTACCACAGATAAGCAAAGGCTTTTCAGGAAATCAGAAATACAAAATGTGAGTGATTTAGAATCGTTCTCTTGCTGTTAACATCATCTGAACAAGAGCAACTTATTCTATACCACCATTAAATTTACATGGGTGCTGTTTTTTCTCCATGTGTTATAAACAACATGACGAGACTTAAGAATATTTACCTCAACATATATGCTAAGTGGAGGAAAGTGCAGTAATATTTCAAAGCAAAATGCAGCTGCTATATTACCTGACAAATTTGCATCACTTGATAATATGCAGTAATCCCAACGCTCATTTTAATCTCCCCTACTCCCTTCACAGCTCGATATCTCTTTATGGTTACCGCAATGTACATTCTCACTCCTAAACACCACTTTCGAATTCAAACCACCCTAAATACAAGAGTTTCTTCAGAACTTACAAAACAATTGCCTGCTGCAGTAAATAATGGGCTAATATTAAAGAAAATAAAGAGGGGGAAACAAGAAAAATAAGCATCGCAATGGAATTTGGACTTTCAAAATTAACATTTCAACCAATCAATTGTAACGTTTGACCTTTCAAACATCCATTTTGTAAGAATCGTGATAAGGCATAAACTTTTGTCAAAAGGTATGATAAAGGATAAACTTGAAATAATTTCCTATATCCTCCTAGTTTCCATAGACAAAATTTAAACAAGGAAACAGGCGTCGAAATGAGAGAGTCTCACCACAAAAACAAACAAATTTACAGTATGACACGAAAGAAGACCACCAAGCGAACACAGTTCCTGCTATAGTTCACAAAAGAAGAAGTCCACGGCATGTTGCTCTCCTCCAAGTGTAAAAATAAGAATTTCCTCTCACTGTCGATACTGATCACATAATACACAAATAAATGCAAATAATAAATGTTATTATTATTTAGCAGATAAATATTCAAGATGAAGTGCGATATCAATCTATAATGAATCATAAACACCAAAGAGAATACAACCCCATGTCAAAATTCATAGCAAGGTTTTAGCAGACAAAACAAATCCTCTACTAAAAATAAAAAATATATTAGTTCCCTTCACTTTCTTCAACGCTCTTGGCAGCAAACAAGCAGAGCATAACCCCCAAAAAAAGATCAGAACAAAACCAACTAAAATTCCAGAACTAACACAAAAAATCATAGTAGTAATTACATCACCGACAAAGAAAATCCTAGCTTCTAAGGGCCAAATCAGTAACCTAAAAGGTTTACTTATAAAAAAAAACTGTCAATCCTTGCATAGCCAAAGTAAAGAAAGAAACAAATTTAAATGAAACAAAAACATATAGGTATGTATATAGAAGGGTAAATGTTTGGATACAAAGCCAAAGGATTTTAATCTTACAAGAATACAAAACAAATCCACTAGATCCAAAGCTCAGAATTGAAGATCTGTTAGAAGAAAATTTCACCTAAAGAGACAGATAGAGAGAGTGTGTGTGAGAGTGAGAGAGATAGAGATGGAGGAAGGGACAGTAGAAATGCAGAGCGAGAAACTTCGACTGGATTTTGTATATCTGTCTGGCGTCTAGAGAGAGAGAGAGAGGATTTTTATGGTACTGACAATATAAAATTGAAAATTAAACATCATTTGTATCTGTTTCGCAGCATTATAATATTAATATTTTACGAAACTCTAAAATGCTTAAGAAAATCTTCGCGTCGATGCTCATATATTATTACTATTCACTTCTACAATAAAAAATATTTTTTTTATTAAAAATATTTAGATTTTGTTGGTAAATGTGATACAAACTTTGTTTTTTAAAATTTTTATTTTTTATATTTTTAAATTATTTTAAATTTTTATTTTTTAAGTTTTTAAATTATTTTGTTGTGTTAATATTAAAAATATTTTTTATAAAAATTGAGTTAATATTAAAAATATTTTTTATAAAAATTATTTTAATATATTTCTAAATAAAAAATATTTTAAACTATAATAGACTTTTAATATCTTTAATTTAGATATAATTAAAAAAAATTTAATTATTCCTTAATTATTAAAAAATTAATGAGAATACATGCATTATTTCAAAAATCAATAAAATTATTAATTTATTCTCAATATAAAGAAATATTATAGCTATCAAATTGATAAGAGATGTTTTTGTAACTTTATTTACTTATCTAATTAGAAAAACTTTGGTCATTCACATAAGGGTATGTTAACCCTTTAATAAAGTTTTTTTTTTTTGATAAATTTTAGATTGATTCAGGATATTTTAGTTATTATCTTCAATAAATTAATATTTAATTTTAAAAAATTGTTAATATTTACAATTTATATTTAATTTAGATGATGCTTGTAATACTTTCTAATAATCAAATTTGTTATTTTATTATGTAATTAAAAGTATCATTATATATTTTTTTCTAGCATAATGCATGTAGTAAATAATGAATAGTCATTATTTTTTTTTTAGCATAATGCATGTAGTAAATAATGAATAGTTTGTTATTAGTGGTTATTTTGTTTTTTCCTTTTTATTTTCTCTCTTCTCTCTAAAAAGTATATATTATTTCTCTTTGTTTTTTTTGTGTTTTAGTTCTTATTCTTTTTATTTTTATTTTTTAGTCCTTATTCTTATTCTTTTTATTTTTTTATCCTTTTAAAAAATTTTTGTTTGTTTCTAATTTAGTCCTTCATTCATAATTTAACAAATATTATTTTTTCTAATTCAATCTTTATTCTTTTGATTCTTAATTTTTTTTCTTTGGTTTTTTTGTTAAAATTTTATTGGTTTTCAATTTCATCCTTCAATTACAGTTTATGGTATATCTTTTTTAATTTGATTATCATTCTTTTGATTAATTTTTTTTAAAAAATTACTTTTCTTTTTAATATAGCCCTCCAATCAAAAAGATTTTGGTTATCCTTTTATTTTTACCCTCATTATTTTAATTATATTTTTTAAATTTTGAATCATTTTGTGTAATTGAATTTTTCCTTATTTCATCATTTAGATTTGTTAGGGATTAAGTTTCGTAGTTTTTTTATTTATGGTGTTTTCAATCTAGTAACCTAAATTATAAGTTTTGAAATGTTAATGTAGGTCGATATTCTTTTTTTTTTAGCTTTTTTTTTATTTCATCATTCGATTTTTTTTCAATAAGTAAAAATATTGGCTTTGTGCTCTCTCAATTTCTTTTCTACTAGATTATTCCGGTCTCATTACTTGTGCCACATGTTTTACAAGTTAACTCGGGTTAAATCTCCTCATATTACCTAAGTTACATGTTTTTCATGCTAGTTCAGGTTGACTTAGTCTTTTTTAATCCAAGTTTATACTTACAGTATTTCTTTTTCAAGTTATCATGATCTTATTTTTATTAAAAATCTTGTCTGTTTATTATCATTGCTTATTTTTTTGTTGTCTAATTAAAATAGTTATAACTTATTAAACTTAGTCAAACCTATAACCTAAGTTTTTTATTTTTCTTATTTCTTTTAAATGTGCTTGCATGCCTAGACTATCACAATCTTTTCTTTTAATTTTTTATTCCTTTTATTTTACTTTAATTGATATCTTTTTATGTCTTTTTTTAAATGCATTTTAAATTTATGTTTCAATTAATATCCTTTCTCTATACTTTTTATTTTTATTTTTTCTAGCCTATTTTAAAGATAGGTTTTTTAAAATTATTTTTGTATGTATGTAATTTTTTAAGATATTATTTTGATTCAATTATAAGTTTTTTTAATGTTTTATATAGATAAACTTTATTTTTAGATAATATTTCTAATATTTGTAGTTTTGCTTTCTTTTCTAAACTTGGCCTTCTCTATCTCTTTCAAATTTCAAAAGTTAAACTAATCAATCAATCATTTCATTTGTATGATAAATCTGCATTTAAGATGAATATTTATGATAAATTAAATGCATTTTATATTTATTAGATATGTGAATGATTTATTGATACTTAAAATATAAAATAATAATTATGCGAATGAGTTATTGATACTTAAAGTGTAAAATAATAATATAAAATCTTAATAACAATATATTTTTAAATACTAATCAAAGTCTTTACTAGTTATTGTCCATAGATCTTGATTATATAAATAGATGTTTAGCACCACCCCTTTTAGGTTTAAGGTCTAACCAATTAAACCATATATAAGCTTATTCGATTACTTGCTAACATTACCTAAAAGGACTATTACTAGTCATGAGTCTCAATTAGAAATAACTAGTTTTTTAATCAGTCACATCAATTCACTAATTGTTTCTAGAATAAATAAATATTCTCTGGTTGTTATTTTGGCAACAATAAAAAATAACAACATAATTTTGATTTAGAAAGGTTAAACTTTGGCCTAACCATATATCTTTTATATCTTGGGTCTAATTCATTACATTAAATTCATTTTTAATCATTGATGACCATGCAGACATATTATTATTATATAGGTACAATAAATCTATTAGGAATATAAGATAAATAACAATACAACTTATTATATATAGGATATTTTAGAATGATAGTATTTTTTTTAGAATAATTAGTCTCTTATTTAAAATTTTAAAACATCAATTAGAATTTTTAATTAATATAATACTAGATAATGATTTCTTTATCTCTTATACAAGTTTCAGTTCTTCCCCCGTTTCTCAAACAAAAACTTAGAATAAAAATATAGATTGTTACGATGTTGGGTGCAACTAAAATAATATTAGGGTTATATTTAGTTCAGGTTAAAAATTTTGAGGTTAAGAGTTAGGGAATTAGCTGTTAAAGGTATAAAAATGTGATTGAAGGTTTTGAAGGATTTTTAATTGACGTGCTAGCTGGAACAATGGATTTTAAATTGAAAATAAAATAAAATTGATAGATAATAAATAATTATATAATAATGGGACTTAATGTTGCTTCAATAAAAAAAAAGGGAAAATGAATGAAATAAATAAATCAAATAAAAAAAAAAGAAAAAATCCCCATAATTTTCCTTCGTTGACATTTTGTTAATCTAAACTTAACCCTCAAAATGGGATTACATATTAAAGGTAGAAGCGAAGATAGAATTTTTAGGTAAGAAGGGAAAATATAAAATTTGTTAATTTTCATTATTTAAACTAATTTTATTGTAGTGAGCAATTGTATTTAAATAAAATCATTAAATAAAAAATTAAACTTAAACAATTACAATATAGAAAGGAGGGAGGCAAATCTAAACTGACAAAGGTTATAATAAAACTTTTGAAAAATTAAGAGGGCAATTGCCCCCTTCTCTTCTAATTACCATTGCCCTGGTTAATGACTGGAAATATTAATCCATTAATGTTTAATCATTTCTTGACGTAAAATTGAATTTTACATCAGTCCATTTTATTTTAAGTGTTCATTTTAAAAGTATAAATATAATTTTTACACACTTTCACTCATTTTTTCTTATTACTTTTTTTTTTAATTATATTTCCAATTTACTCAAAACAAACATTTAGCTATATAATTATAGAAGTGAGAGGTAAAAATGAAATATCATTTTTAAAATATTTTTTTTTTATATTTGAAAAATTATGTAAATAAAATGAAACAGTTAATGTGGGAATGAGGAAATACAACCCAAAGAGAAGGAAGATAATGGTTTTTCACCTAGAATTGTAAACAACGACAAAATTATAAGTTTTACGGTTCTCCTGCTAATAGTTTGTTTCTTTCCATTTAAAGCTCCTCCTTTTGTTTCATGGAAAACCACTTGAAGTCTCCTCGTATACGAAGTGGAAGAGGAAACAATAATTTTTTTTTTTAGTTTTAATAATTTAATTAGATAGATCTAGAGTTATTTTAAATTTATATAAATACTAATTATAAGTTGTATAACTATTCAATCTCTAGCAATAAATAATGTGAATTAGCAATAAGAAACATCTAAATTCTGGTAGGAGAGAGAGATTATTATACCTTTAGCTACTATTTTTTTTTTTTTGTGTTTTATGTATTTTTATATTGTACTTTACTCATATAGAAAAATAAGAGCTATTGTTTTCCTTTTTTTGTGTTTTCATATAGAAAAATAAGAGCTATTGTTTTCTATTTATAGAAAAAATCTAAAAACCATATAAATGATAAAATATTAATTTTTTCCTTAAATAATATGACATATATTTTAAATGGTTAATTTTATAAATTTTTTTGATCAAGTCCTTGATTATTTTTAGATCTAGAATTGTAATTCCCTATGTTAATTACATTTTAATCCTTAATTTCTAAAATTTATTTACAATCAGATTATACTTCATTAATTATCTCATTTTAATTTCTAACCAATAGTTTTTATGTGTGTGACTCATTAAGTTTTCTAATAAGTTGATTCAAATATAAATCATAATCTTAAATATAATAAGATTAAATAAATTAAACAAATTAATTTATTATTAATTCAATAATTAATTGGTTTATATTTAAAAATCAAGTAAAATATCTAGCAACCTATCATAATCTTCTTAAATATTAGATAAGTTATAAGTAGTTTGATTTAAACTTTTAGTAACTAGTTTTTCATTGTAGTTATTATCTTTTCATCAATAATTTTTTAATTACATATATAGCATGAACACTTTATTATATTAAATAATATTTGTTCTGATAACTGTGGTTATTATTTTTTAAATAAAATTTGAGAATTGTTTGATTGGTGGAAACCAGACGATCCAGTTAATAATCCAATCCAATGCATCACAATGCAGGTCTGGAGGCCTTTTGGTAAGCCCCATGGATTACTCCATTCGTGGATGCCCGCTGGATGAGGAGGTGGAAGTGGTGGGGATGGTGGATAATTTGGCGAGCTAATGGATTAGTGTTTGTGCATGTTAGACGCATGTGTTTTAGGTTCTGCCTAGCATTTTGTTTTTCTGTCATCTTGTCATTAGAGATCAATGAGTATTTTGTTTTATGTCTATTTCTATAGTGAATTTCATTTTGATATCTTATAATATGTTTTTGGCTCTCGCTAGCATCAGTAGCATCAGTGACTCCATAAATTCTAGGTTCGATCCCCAAAGAAGTCGTGTAACTTGAAACCCAAATGCACCATTTAACATGTAACAAATAACCCAAGAACCCTCTTGATTAAGAAATTGATATAACTTCTTCACTTGATTTTGGTTACAAACCTTTTGTGACAGATTATGAGGATGAAAAAATACGTTGAAGATCATCGGCATGCTCTAAGCCGAGGACATTTTCTTAGAATGAGAGTACAAAGGTTTAAAGGAAAGATTTTTGGGCTGCTGCAATTCAGGGATTCGTAACCAGATTATTTGATTGAAGTTATAGGGCTGTTCTCATTCAAGGGGATGCACGACTTACGATGTTTGGGATTTTTAAGTTTGAGTCGGAACTGAAAATCTCGTAATTTGCTTAAACTGGTGGTCACATTCCCAGTATTAAAATGAAATCCAGATACGGCAAGAATCTCCGCTATCGTCCACGCGCTTTCGATAACGGCACATCCTTGAAAACAAATATACTACTGCTGACACGGTTTGGAAGAAATCGAGCCATCAGCAATCAGCTAGTAATCATATCAAGTTGCCCAGATCTGAAAATTCTAAAAATTCATATCAAAATCTGTTCCATGTACAACTAAAACATACAAATGCCAACAATAGGCTGCACATTATTATCTTTTAAAACTAATACAAAGAGAGACGTGACAAAAATCTCACTGTTTCCTTTGTTCATGTCAGTTTAATCAAATTCTTGTAGGAAGCGACACTAAATAACAAGATAATTGGGTTCTAATCTCCCACCTTCAGCTAATCATGTCTGATTTGCATTAGATGCAGCTTTTAGTTCCTCCAATTTTTTGCGAAGATATGCTTGTTTGAGTTTCTCATGTTTAGCTGCTGCCTGCTCTTGTCTATGCAACTTGAGCTCCACTACCTTTTTTCTGGCTTGATTGGCTTCTTCATGAACTTCTCTGAGAAAAACCACGATGCAAAAGGAGTTACGCTGCGGGGTTCAGTAACATGATTCAGATTGTGGTACTATAATACAAATCAAGTGACAAAATCACTAAAAAGCAAATCATATTAGGATACCTCTTTCCCACCCTTTTTTTTTTTGATAAATAATAGATAGCTGAACCACTTGCACAAAAATAAGATTATTTCTTTTCCTTTTTGGTAATTGCTAATGGGGAGATATTGTTTTTTGGAGCTAATACGCAGACATGAACTTCCAGATCTGGAAATGTGCCAAAGTAATGTCTTATTGCCCTTTCTTTTCACAATTGCAGTAGATGTGTTCGGTTTGGTCATCTAATGGTGTGCACAAAGCAATACAGGATCCATTAAAGTGCTAAAAGTAGGACAGGCTGGTTCTCAGAGCAGAGAGGGTTTTCAGAATTTGCTGCCTTGAAATTTTTTTAAGGAATTTCTAGATGAAGGATATGCCCAGATGAGGTATCACCAGGATTCATTTAGGTCAACTAGTGAGGTCTTATTTAGCATCTCGAGTATGCTGTACAAGACTGGCCTTTGTTATGTAGGATTCCATTTGGTGTTAATCTCCAACCTATAGGTTTTGTGGTCCAATGGTGGATGCGTGGAGTGTTTAGACAGTTAGCAACTTGGGGGGCTTTCAGTATGGTTAAAACACTAGCATTTAGACAGGTCTTCATGTAAGGTCCAACTTGCAGTGCCTAAGTATAATGGGAAAGTGATGTGAAATTTCGTTTGAACAGGGTAAAAGGTAAGGAATAAACTGTATGGTCAGGAAAGAGGGGAACTATAAGCCTAATATGAACAAGGGTTTAGATCTTGGACATTTTGTACAGAAAATTATTGCCTTGGGGTGAATGGCAATGCATTTACCTTTAAAACCCAAAGCCCCCCAGAACAAATTAATCTAGACCAAATATAATCTCCACTCAACTGGTTGAGTAGTTAAAGATGCCAAGGGTCTGCCTTTCCATATCAAAGGTACCATTAATTTCCCACTGTTTAAGTCACCAGGTAGGAAATGGATCTTGATTTTGGGAAGAGGGGGTGAGGGATTCTATTGAGCAATGATCCACCAATTCATCTTGTTTCCCATTAGGGTTGTAATAATTTTTCTTAGAATCTTATCACCCATATAGCTCAATCCACCAGTTCCTCTAAGTTTCCCTCTTGCTAATAGTATTCAGAAAAAGTCAAGGTACCATCCAAGTTAAGGCATTACTCTGGATACTGAAGTCAGTTCCACAGTTTTTTTTTTTTTTTTTTTTTTTTTTTTTTTTTTTTTTTTTTTTTATTAATGAGAGGCATCATAAGGCACAATAGTGTATTGTATTTTCAATGCAGGAGTCATTTTGGCACCTTTACTGGCATTAGCCTGTGGGATAGGCAATGTGGTTAGGCTTTTTGCTGTTGCTGGTGAGCAGAGGGTTGTGAACCATTTATTATATTCTTTCTGAGCAGAAACATATAGGAGGACCCTAAGGAAGGGGCCATTCTTCTGGAGTTCATAAACAGATCATAATTTCAAAATTTCTAAGGAAAACCACTATCTAAACAGCTTCAGCAATAGTTTCTCAGTTTCTGAGTGTTGTCTGCTCAGGGGACCTTCATGGGATCTCTATATCTCAAGATTTAAAAGGATTGGAAGACACTAAATTTCTGGTTATCTTTCAGGTGTGGTCTCATATGGTGGACATCTTATTTTCAATGGTGTAATAATCTTCAAATACTATTCAAACAAAGTTTCATTTTATCAAATAGTAGGCTAGCTCGACCTCTGCGTGGACAAACTCGTTGCATTAGGTTACAAGAGAATCTGTGACCTTTCAACAAAGAAAAATTTCTAATTGTCATCAGGAATTGCAAGTTAATTCAAAACCTGCCACCTCAATTAGTTCATCTCAACTCCCCCACTCACAACTTTCGTAAATAAGATCATCCAACATACAATATGCCATACATAAACATAGGAACAGATTATAAGCCTTACCTCACTAAACGATGATGTTGCGCTTTGTCCACAGCTCCAGCCGTCCGCCCCGGCGCAGCAAATTTGGCATTGAATAACACAGAATCATCACTGTCACCATCAACTTTTCCTCCATCATCAACGGGTGCGGCAGCAGAAGTATTACTCCCTCGAGGCCGCGTCGACTCATCTTGTTCCACACCCTTCCTAAAAAAATCAACACAGTACTTCTCATTCTCTTCCTCATCAGACAACTCTCCTCTCAACAACTTGTCATACAACTCCGCCTTCCTCTCCAATGCAGCATAGCTAGCTGACCCATCATTAACTGCTTTAAGCTCAAGCTTGTCCCTGAAATTAAAAGAATAATCAGAAAAAGAAAAAAGAAAGCCCTAATAAAAGAAAAACGAAAGATGAGTACTTGAGGGCACGGGATTCGACGCCGGAGTTTTTCTTGGAGAAGGTGTCGAGAGAAGGGATAATCTTCTTGGCGCGATGGTATTCAAGATCAGAAGGGGAGATATCTTTAGATTTCTTGGCTTCTTCTTGGGATTTATAGAGTTGGGCTTTAAGTTCAACGATGGAAGAAGCACCAACTCCTTCTATGGCTCGATGTTTCTTTGGTAAGATTGATGATTCCGTTAGCCATCCTAATGATTCCACCATCACTCTTCTCTTCTTTCCCTCTTCTTCTGCTTCTCCCATTCTTTTCTTCTTCTGTTTTTCTCTTCAAAATAAATCAATTAGTTATTTGGCGATCAACCTCTCAATCAACGAGCGAGATGTCGGTTGGGTGATGTTTGAAGTCAAACGACAACCGGTCATCACTTTCTATTGATATAGAAGAAGCGAATACAGTAAAGATAGAGCACATATATTCTTCTCTTATTTCTATTCTAAAAACATAAAAATTCATTTAAAAACTATCTTAAAAATAATTTTATTTTATATTTTTACTTATATTTATTTGACCGAATATATTTTTATCTTCTTTGTACTTGTTCTTTACACTCTGGACACTAACATAATGAAATCCTAAGAAATATTTGTTTTATAATTTTTTTTTCCTAATATGTTTCATGATTTTGAAGATAATGATATTGATGGTGATTAGATAAATGGTGGTTATTGTTATGTTTATAATAATATTAGAGGGTCATGATAGAATAATTATAAAATATTTTTTATATTAGTAATAACATGGTGATAAATAAAGGTAACTAGGTTGTTGTATTAGTGATGATGAAAGGTTATAGTAAAATAATAATAAAATAGTAATTAAAATAATAATAAGATGGTGGTTATGGTGGTAGATGACATGATGGAGTGGTGATGGTTCCAAATTAGCCGTTATTAAAGAATTGATTAGAAAATATTTTTTAATTAATTCATTTTCTAGTATTTATTTTACACTTATATATGTGTGTTTGTGCATGCACATGCATATATTGTCAACAATTAAGGGAAGACTTAGAGCTATTGGAAGATTATATTTGTATAACCCAATAAAAGCCATATAAATGACTCATCTACAAGTCTACTATAATAGGATGGTTTAAGTAATACATGACAACACCAAATTAAAAAATAGAGAGACTTGATGAATATTTTTATTAAGCAATACAAATTCAACATGTATTTAGCATTAAACCATTAAAGTTTACGGATTATAGAAAAGAATCTGAAAGAACCAATTCAAAAATATGCCTAGAGATGACAAGGGATGGAAGCCTAAATTAACCCCTCATTGATTGAAAAAGAAATTATTTTACTTTTCTTAAATACATTTAGAACATTTTATTTTAAGTATCTGGTTAGGCATTTAACCTTAACATTTCAATTATGTAGTTATAATGGTTGAAAGGGTATAATAAGATATAAGAGTAGGAAGATCTCAATTACTTCAGAAATAAAGGAGGATATATAAATAAGTAGAAGGATAACTATGTTCACAACTTAGAGAAAAATCATTCCCATTGTAAAAGGCAATGGAGTGGTAAACAAAAATTAAATCATCATGATCATTCTAATGGCACTAGTTTTTCAACCTTTATGTGTAGTTTAGCAATTACTACTTTAAATCTTTCCATTTAATTTCCCAATAATCAATCAGCCAATATCACTTAAAACTAATAATTTTTTGAACAATCCAATAGCCATTCATATATCAACAACCAATCATATAGAAAACCATTGAAGATATGAAAAACCCTTACCACCACTTTTATTACCCATGAGCAAAATGATTAAAAAAAATAAAAATGATTAGCACAGGGAAAATCAAATTCATCAAACACAAACCATTCCTACCACCTTATCCCAAACGATATAGATTAGACTAAACCATGAGTATCATTCTGGTGTTATAAGACATGATCTTGATAATTACAAACTCTTATAGTTTATCAATGTTTGGTGGATAATATTCGATAATGCTTTGAAAAGGAGAAACAAACATCTAAAGTTTTGGGTCTTTTCATTTCTTTTTTCTTTTTTCATTTCACCTCTCTCAGTTTTTAATGGTAAATGGAAAATGTTATTATAATTGGTGGATGAGAACTTAGTGACTTAAGTATCGATTATTACTGGTGGAATGACTAACGATTGGTATGGTGGGGCTTGAGAAAAATTAGGGGGAAGATGATTATTTTTTGCTTGGATCAATAATGTTTGGAGAAGGGAACTAATGTTTGGCTGCTGGTGGTAGAGGTTGGAGGTGTCGAGTTTATTACTACTGCTTTTTAGTATTTTGGCTGATGATAAAGGATTTTATTAGAGATGCCTAAGCTAATAGTGAGAGGGACTATGAATGACATAACGACTGATGGACAATTTGATGCTACACTTGTAATTGATAATGATTGGGTGGTTTTTAGTTTGTGTTTTGATGGGTTAAATAGAAGAGGTTAGATGGGGAGAAATCTTCTCACAATGATGATGATGACATGAAGGAGTTGGTTGTGGCGATGATGATTTTTGATAGGTCTTGGTAATTGGTTTAAAGGCTAAAGATGAGGTGGGGTTATCAATTAGAGGAGGAGAATCTATTACAATGCTTATGGTGTTTGCTAGTGTCAGATGCTACTAGAGTAATTATTAGTCATTGGTGGTTGCTGCTTATGACATTGCTATCGGTCGTTTTGTTCAACATGTGAAATAATTAATGTTAATAATAAGGCCTGAAATTCAACAAAGTTTTATAACATAATCCAGGTAAACATAATAAAAGATAATTAGTAACCTAAAAATGATGCTTGAATGAAATTTATGGATTGAGGTCAAATGTGGTTTGAGTTTAAGTTTTTCAAAACAATAAATTGGGCTTAGGCTAGATCACAAACCAAGGGCAAGTTATCCACCATATAATAATTATTCAAAGGTTTTTTCAAAATGCTATAAAAGAATTTGACAATACCAAACATATATAAAATGATCACTTTAACAAATATGGACAAGTTAGTAAATTAAATGGCAAGTGAAGAAAGAAGATATCATTTTCAATTAACAACAAGGGGATTGAATTTTGAATGGGAGACCAATATTTAGAATAGGTAAGTATTATGATGAATAATAACCTATGATTTTCATTTAGAATTTTGCTTTTAAAGCTTCTTAAAATTCTGACACATTATAGACTCACAAGACTTTTGCATTGGGAACATATAAGTTTTTTTTAAAAGCAAAAACTTTGAAAAATAAAGTTAGTTTCATTTGATTTTATTTAATTTTGATTTTTTTTTATCAATAAGGCTGGTTGTATTTGATTTGAGCTGATTTTAAACTTTTACAAGATAAAGTTAATCACCTTTAATTTAATTTGATTTTAATTTTTTACAAATAAAGCTAGTTGCCTTTGATTTGACTTGATTTTAAGTTTTTGCAAGATAAGGTTGGTGACTTTTCATTTGAACCAATTTTAAACTTTTGCAAAAATTTTTTTTATATAAACCCATATGGTAACAAGCATTGAATCCACAATCAATATAAAAAATAACCTAAAAAAGCTAAAATTAGATTGATAAAAAAACTCAACTTAATGATTACTTAAATTAAGATATTAAAATTATTAGATAAAAAACTCTAATCCATTGATTATAAATAATTAATAACTAGAAGTACAAGGAAGAATATTAAAAAGACAATTAGTTTTTGATAAGTTCTAAAAAGTTTAATGAATAACTATAAATATGAACAACCTCGCATACACACAATATTATTTATAAATAAACCAAGCCTATAAAAAACACTAAATATAATTTAAGTAATTTTATTTATACTAGGTAAAACATCTTAAATAAAGCTAAAAAAAAGATTAATCAAAGTAAAAAAAATCTTAAACCAACTAGGAAAATTATAAGGCCTTGCCAAACACTAATTACCACAAATTTTAAATTTATAAATAATAAGGCCTTTAAAATTTTCTAGTAAAATTTTAGTTTAATTCAATAGTCAAATTAAAAGTTATACTTGTTAGTGTAAAATTAAGCATAAAAAATTAAATAAAAAATCATGTCTAATATCCTTAAATAATAAGAAAACCTTTCCAAAGAGAAAATTTATAACACAAAAGGAAACACAATTTTTTACCACCTCTCTCTATATTATTAAGGCTTTGACTCATTAGGAAATAAAAAAAAAACTATGATAATTAATTTTTCAAGCTACCAACTAAAATTAATGGAAAGCTAGGATTTCATGCAATATATATATATAAAAATTTCTCAATAATTCCTGAAGATATTACCTATGTATCCATCATATACAAGAAACCCTTGACTTATAAGAAATTTATAAATCATATGGAAACTAATTTTTCTTGTTTATTAACAAATTTTAAGTTTGACTTCAAACATATTATATGATTTATTAAGATTACCGTATATGGATAAAAATCTTAAAATGTTCAGTTTCCTTCCTAACTATAATCAAATAAAAAAATCCACTTGTAACTTTATATATGACCTAAAGAGTACATAAAAATCTAGTCTAGCATATTTGTAGCTTTTTAACCCAAACTTCTTAATTTAGCCCATTAAATTTTTTTTTTATCTTTTTAGTTTTAAACTTTGTAATAGATCCAATAAGTACCTTTAATAAATCATTTGATGATAGTTGCTTATTCTCATCATTTTCTCTTTTTAAAATGATTCATCTTTAAATAATAATAGAAACACCATTTAGCCTATTAAATTTATTTTTGATCTTTTTAGTTTTAAACCTTGTAATAGACCCAACAAGTATCTTTAATGGATCATTTGATGATGTTTGCTTATTCTTATCATTTCTCCTTTTTAAAATAATTCATCCTTAAATCAATAATAAAACACTATATATGAGTAATACATCCTATAATCTTGCAACAAAGAATCATCAACACTATTTTTCATATGCTTGTTAGTATAAAAATTATTTATAACCTCCTTTTTCTTTCCTTTACAAGTGAGCCCCTCTTTTGTTTCTCTCATCTCAATCAACTTACCATTTCTTTCATCTCGACCATTCTTTTATTATAAGTTAATCCCACTAACATATTTTGAATGATCACCTTCCTTACTAGAGTTTCTTTTCTCTCATGTAAATGAATATGCATACGAACTTGATGGCTATGGATTAAAATTTCATATTGAGGTCTAAGATAATCTATTTCATATCTATACGAAGACAATAAAACCAATACTTTTCATAATGTGGCATTTTAAATAAATTTTTTATTTTATTTATTCAAATCATTCTCTTTTACATGTAAACTCAATACACACCTAACTATAAATGACTTATATGCATGTCCATGAGTTGGCTTGGCTCAACTTATGTTTGGGCTTGAGTTTGGATTTATAATTCTTTGGACCATAAAGAATTATTTTTTATCAACATATTATTTTGTCTTGGCTAGTCTATTAATAATAAATTTGATCAATTTTTATCCAAAATATTTTTTTCAAAATCTAAATGATTTTATGAACTAAAAAATATCATATTTAAAGCCAAAACCATGATGATTAACTTGGATTTTATAATAATGGATAATCAAAGCTAGTAATGTTGGGAATTAATTATGATAATATTTATAAGTTTAGTTTCGAAAATCATCTATGGGTTGAAGAAGAGTGTTTTGCACTCATTTTCCAAATTTTAATGGCTTTTCTTTACCTCTTTTTCTAGCTTATTCTCTCATTTTTTTAAGCTAAGTTTCTTTTTTATCTTTTTCCTCCCAATCTAGAGTTAAGTTTAGTATTTGTAGAGAGATATTTGAGTTAAATTCATTTGGTTCACTACTGAACTTGTTTAGAAGTCATTTGAACTTGTTTAGAAGTCATTTAAATAAGGTGTTGTTGTTTGTACTTGGACATTAATTTGATTAGTATGTTTTTGTAATGATAAACTACACAATCTCAATAATAATGATTTTGAATAATAATTTCACCCAAATATAATTAATTTGTATAGATGAATTGTGGGGTAAGATTTTGATTATAAAATTATAAACTCATATAATTTGAAGAAAATTACTCTTTAATTCATCATTTGAAGTGAAATTTTTTGTGTTTATAACTTGCATGAACATCATTTGATTAGTTTTATAATTTAATTAAAAATAATAATATGGTGAGATTCAAACAATATTTGATTTCTAATAACATGCGAGAGAAATCATCTTAATTTATTAAATAAAATTCTTAATTTTTTTATTATTGTCTTATTGTCCAACTGAGTTGATGCTAAAATAAATTGAAAAACCAAATATCTAAAAATTTCTTAAATCAAAGATGAAAAATCCAAATAGTAAAATACTAAAAGATTGAGTTTTCTCTAGTTATTTACACCACTCTTTCAGATCTGACACAAATACAAACATTACAATTACAGTAACTTATACAAAGAAATAGCTGCACAGTTGCTTAAATGTTCCCTTTCTAGTGCCAAATACTACTCAATCTTGGACTAGCAAAGACAACCGCAGGAGATATTCATGTCCGAGAGAGCTAACTGTGGTATTACACTCTGCTTTTTGTTGCATGAACTCCACTATTAAATGGAGTGCAAGCATCAAAAAGTTCACAAAAGAAAAAAAAAACGGATTAATTGGCAAATCATACAAGTTATATGGTAATTTATACAGAAAGGTGAAAGCAAAGCAATTATTCCCACGAACCCACTGTGTAATTAGTCAAATAAGTTCTTAAGTGAATTGCGTTTGCCACATGGTTCAGGCACCAAAATCTTTTGATTGTGATCATTGTGTTGATTGCATACTGTGGGACTGATTGGCACTTCAATGTTACCCAAAATCACTCCTTGCTTTTGCATGTAATCCCATTTGTCTTGAAACAGATAAAAGAAAGCCATGAAAGAGACCTGGGCTGTGAAAAGTATAGCTAAGAGCCTTGTGCTTCTGGACATTTTCTTATGATAAGCACTTATGCCTGTATAAATGTTGATGATTCCAACTAGAGAGATCACTGTTCCAAGTATCCAATGCACAATGTACCATGTGCTTCTTCTTTTATTCCCTCTGCAGGAAGGGATTAAGAATCGTTAATAGTTATAAAAAGCTCATCACTCGACGATTCCATATACACACACATAATTTTGGATTATGATTCTCGTGTTTCCTTGAAAATGATTAATCATTTTCTTGTAAGATTAGTCACCCTGATCATACTTCCTTGAAAATGATTAATCATTCCATGGTGTGTGCTTTTGTTTCACTTTATATGCTAATATGCATTTCTAGATCATCCTTTGAAGAGGAATTCTTTTGTTATTCCCATTTCAAGATCTATTTTTATGATTTACATAAACCTAAATACTTCTGATTATATTTTTCACAAATGAAGATATTAAATATTGATTTTATATTTATAACTAGAAACTATAGCTAAATATACAAATTCTTTAATGAGGATAATCAGAATTTACCATTTTTTTTATCATCATCTATCACCAAATTAAATTTCTTGGAAATTGTCTTCATGCTATGGTTTTTTCCTTCTAGATTTTATCCACTGATTAAATATGTATTTTTTTAAAAATAATATAACATCAATTTTTATTTACTTCTTCCTTTTTCTTTGGATTAAATTTTAATTTTAATATTTTTTTATTTCTCATTTCAAAACCAATAAGAGATCATAATTTCAATAATTAGAAAACAATATGTATTTCAATTTTATTTTGATTAAGTAAAAAAAAAAAACTCCATGATTTTACTAAAAACAAAGAGTAATGTATTCTATCAGTGTAATTTATAATAAATATGGAGTGGGAATAACAGAATATATATGGAGTGAAATAAATAGGAGTAGGAAAAGTCTTTCCAACCAATGAAACTTTTTTTTGGGGTCCGGATTGTCATGAGAAATTAGTATAAACTTATATAGAATTTAAAGCTTACTAATTATTTAATCTCATGAAATTGTATATTTTTTATTTTAAATTCTTTTTATTTTCTAAATTGTCCATCATAAAGTTGAAATTATACAGGAAAGGTAAATATTATTTCAAAATAGTTAAGTTATAGAGTTTAATTATGTAAATGTTGACTACTGACATCTTAGCCATTCAATGAGAAATTAAGCTTAAATTAAGTGAAAATAATAAATTATTTTCAAAATAATTGGATAAATCTTTTATTTTTCACTGTGCAGGTGGATTATATATTCATATAGGTTTGAATTTGTGAAGAGAAACCAGATGAATTACCTCCGAGGCTTCAAAAATCCCACAACAGCTTGCACCCATATAGCTCCATAAAGTCCTAGACCTATTCTCTGGTGATTGTTGTAAAACGAGTTCTCAAAGGATTTTATGGACATGATAGCTCCAGCTGTGGCAAGAAGAACTGATAGAATCTGCATGTCAAATAGAATAATGCATGTGTTTGACTTGGTTAATACAGAAATTTAATTCAGGAGCAAGAGTTATTCATGATCTTTATCTTTTTCTGAAAAGATAATTCAAAGAAAGAAAAAGAAGTAATCATTATAAGATCTCATATTGTATTTTTATTCATCATAAAAAAGTAAAAGTTATATATAGATAGACTTCAAAATCTCCATTTATGAAAGCGTTGAGGTCTCTTCTGCAGAAAGAGAAAAATAGCAGACATCATCATTAAAGTTAAAGTGCCTATATATCGAGCTATCATGACGATTTTAACAACAACAACAACAAAAGGCTCCATTATCACAACCATGGACTGTAAGAGACTCTTTTCTCTTTCTTAATCCACCCACTTCCTTATCTTTTCTTCCCACTTTCATTTCTAATGAAAACCTAAACCATGCACGATTTGCAAAAGAGATGAAAGAGTTTTACCTGGAAAACAAAATGAAGATAGACTAGAGCTTTCCTTCTTCTACCTTCCTCTCTGTGGGACATTCTGACAGTGATCACCCCTAGAGGCATTAAGAACCCCATGGAAGCCCATAAGAGAACCCCGTGAAGATTGATATCCGAGATCATCTTAGGGCTCATCTGTTGAATATGTAAGGAAGATGCAGTCCATATCAATAACCAATAGTTAAATAAAGAACGCCCACACATAGTTAGCCGATCAGTATAAGAAGAAGATGAAAACATTAGACATGTAAATCCGTTGGCTTAAGATAAAATCTGAAGAAAGAATACACGCACATATATACCTTGTGATTGAAGTTGTGCTGTGCGCTCTTGTGACCCTTGACATCTTCATGGGATAAGCAAGCAGCAAAGGGTAAAAGTACAGCATAGTATGATATGACAGACAAAGATGCAACCGAGTGAGAATTTCGCATTCTTTAGCCACCAAGCAAATAAATGATCATCGATATACAGCAGGAGCACAAAGAAAGAGAATAAAAGCACCAACAAAAGCTTACTTATGCTAGTGATGGGGTTATAAAAATGACCACTATATCTAACAGCTCGTAGATTTATAAGCACGGGCGGTTGCAGTCTTGCAGAGAACAAAAGAGAACAAAGAAAGCGGACCCTAATGTTGTCCCCAAAAAGGTTTTCAACAATGTGGGGTTGACATCGACAGGCTTTTTGGTTGATTATATATATATATATATAAAGGAACGTGGGTTCGGCACTACCCAAGGTGGTCAATTCATGTATGCATGAGAAGTCATGGCAATATAACCTAGAGAAGAATGAGATGATTTTTAAAATACATAATTTCTTGTTTATATATAAATGATTGTAGTGTTTGGTTTACATCTCAAGATAAAAAAGACGAGATGAAACAACATAAAAATAATAAGAAATGGATATGAAATTGTATCCGGTAATAATATACAAATAGAGTAAGTGTTTTTATATCATCATAGGTTAATGGTTTAAATAATGGTATAAAATATCAAAAGAAAAATTAGGTTTATGTTATTTAGTCTTTTTGTAACACATTTGAAAATTTATACAATTTTTTTCTCATTTTAATATTTTGCATGCTAATAAATTATTTATTTAGTAATTACTTTATATTTAAATTTCAAGAATTTTTTATTGAATATATTATTCACTTATTAATTTTTTAATTTTGATGAAACTCTTAAAAAATATTTTTATCTAAAAATTATCATGTACTATGGTTAATTCAGTGAATTAATGCGAGAATTTGCTCTGTGTGTGTGTGTGTGTGTGTGTAGGAACGTGGGTTCGGCACTACCCAAGGTGGTCAATTCATGTATGCATGAGAAGTCATGGCAATATAACCTAGAGAAGAATGAGATGATTTTTAAAATACATAATTTCTTGTTTATATATAAATGATTGTAGTGTTTGGTTTACATCTCAAGATAAAAAAGACGAGATGAAACAACATAAAAATAATAAGAAATGGATATGAAATTGTATCCGGTAATAATATACAAATAGAGTAAGTGTTTTTATATCATCATAGGTTAATGGTTTAAATAATGGTATAAAATATCAAAAGAAAAATTAGGTTTATGTTATTTAGTCTTTTTGTAACACATTTGAAAATTTATACAATTTTTTTCTCATTTTAATATTTTGCATGCTAATAAATTATTTATTTAGTAATTACTTTATATTTAAATTTCAAGAATTTTTTATTGAATATATTATTCACTTATTAATTTTTAAATTTTGATGAAACTCTTAAAAAATATTTTTACCTAAAAATTATCATGTACTATGGTTAATTCATTTTTTATTGATATAAATTAGGAAAAAAAATATAATTAGTTACTTTAACTAGTTAACTAGATGTTGAGTTGCGGGTCAAATTAGTTTTTTAAATATAAAAACAAAATATTCAAGCATTGTTAACATGTTTTCTAATAAAAAAATTATTCATCAACTCAAAATGTAATACATATTAGATAAATTTATTTCTAAATATTTATATGTTTACGTATTAAATGACATTTGATTTCAAATATTATGATAGTGACATATTATATCAATTCATATTAACTTGTTAAATTTGTAATCCAGATCATAAAACCATAATAATCCTATAGAAGCAAATGAACAAAATAAATTATGAAAATAATTTCAAACCAAAATAATATTGAAAAATAAAATAAAAAATTAATTAAAAAAATTTAAATCGACTTAAACTAACTTATTAAATTGGTGATATGATTCATAAAATCAGGTAACTTTATAAAACTTATATAGAAAAAATACAAAAATTCACTTTTAATAATAAAAATAAAAGACACACAGATAACACTATTCTAGTCAATCTTTACAAAAGAGTATTTTATTCCTACTTTTTAATGTTTCGGGGGGGAAGACTATAATAATTTAGTAATACGTTTTAATATTTTGTTAATTTAAGAAAATGTTTTATGAATAATTTAAAAATATAATAACACAAGTAAAACTAAAAAGTTATCCGTTAAAAAATTGAAAGAGGTTAAAAACGAATAAAAACCCGATTCTGGGCTTCAAGTTGGTGGCTTATTGCAAAGACTTTCTCAAGCACATTGCTGCCTTTTTCTTTCTTTTTTGGCTTGGTTCTCATGGCGGCATATAGAGGGATTTCATTTTCAATGGTGACCTTATGTAAGGCCATCATGATCATGTCCTACGAAGAATATATGGGCCGGCTTCATCATTGTGATTCAGTATATCAATAATGATTGCTTTTTGACCCCTGTTTTGAGAAGTATTTAAAAAGAGGGTAATGATTATGTTTTAAAATTTGTTTTATTTAATAATTTATAAAAATAATATCTTTTTATTTTTTTTAAAATTATTTTTAATATTAATGTATTAAAATAATTTTAAAATAAAAAATAATTTTAAGTAAAATATTTTTTTTTAAATCATGAAACATGGTTTTCATCAAAGTAAAAATAAAAAATAAAACTTGTACTGGCATGATCATTTAAAGTGTATTTATTTTTATATTTAAAAAATATTTTTTCAAAAGTTTTTATTTTAATTTTTTGAATAATTTTAATATTTAATGTTAAAAATAAATTTTAAAAATTAAAAAATAATTTTGTATTTTTAAATAAAAATATTTTAAAAAATAATTATTATTGTAATATCAAATACTATTTTAATTAAATGTTTGCAAAAAAGTATTTTATTCTGAATAGGAATCTACCAACCAAACGTTGCACAACAAGAAAAAGGAGTATAGAACGGGGAAATGTTATTCCCACACTATTTTTTGTTATTCGCACAGCAAATTCCAAGTCCAAGTTACTCTTTACAAAATCAAATATTACTTTTACTATTAATAATTTTAAAATGAGTTGTGTTCATGAATAACATTTCATTTCTATCTTAAAACAAAAGATATGAAGCAAGATAATATATAAAAGACAAGATAAAATATAAAAGGAATATAGAATTATGTTTAGTAATAATGTATAATTTCAAATAAATGTTTTTATATTAATTTTGCTTGATAATATATAAGAAAATATAAAATACTAAAAAACCTTGTTTATCCTTGTATTATTTTGTATTTTTATATCACATTTGAAACACCACAAAATATTTATTGTCATTTCATTATTACGCATACTTTACTTATTCAATAATTTATTAATAATATTTTTTTATTTTACATTATACTAAAAACAAATCATTAATTTAGTAATTATTTTAATTTTTATTCAAATTCAAATATTATTCATTCATTAATTATTATTTTTTAACATATATTTGGAAATAATATTATTGATCTAAAAAATTATAATTTACTTTGATTAATTCTTTTTTTATTGATGTAAATGAGAAAAATTATAATCTATTTTGATTGGTTAAATTTATTCAATTTACAAATTAGAATGATAAAGATTAATATGAATATATAAAGAATACTAAGGAAAAAAGCTTTTTGTTTGCATCTAACCTTACTTGATTTGGAGGTCTGTAGTTTCACATTTATTTTTTTAAAGGTGCCAACTCAATTAGCTTATAATTTATTAGTATAGTGATGACTGATTAAGGACAAGATATTGTTGAGTTTATTGAAGAAAATAAAATGTAAACATTTAATGAGAGTAGTTAATCTTTGTAGAAGGGATGTTTCTCCGTTAAATGATGTTAGTTACAACCTCTAAGGTGGTCAGAGACGCTATATTATGTTGTTTGATAATGCTTACTTGATTAGCTAAATTGCCAAATAAGAAGATAAATAGTGGTCGAACAACACTTGTTTACACCCTAAAAATTAGGGTTTTTATAATTTGAGAATTGAAATTTTTTAATTTAATCTATGTTTTTCTAATTGCTTTTAATGACATTCGTAATCACATCCTAACTTTTAATGTTATGCAATTTTATGTCTATCAAACTCAATAGTCAGTCCCTAAGTTCATTGTCTTTTCCAATTAGGTCATTGGTTCCTAATTTATGCAAATTAATCCTCAATTAACCATCATATTTTCAATTATCTTTAATTTGGCTCCAGATATTATACTACTACTCAACAAGAGACAACTAATTTACCCATTTAGTAGGATGATCCTAGTCATACATCTAAAGTAGTTCTCAAGGCATCGTTTGCCACCCCGGTTTGCCCATCAAACTGTGGATGAGAAGCTGTAGAATAGTGTAGATTAACCCCTTGTTGCTTAAAACGATCATTTCAAAACTAGCTCAAAAAGACTGGATCTCTATCACTTACAATTGTGAATGGAAAACCATATAACTTGAATACATTATCTAGAAAGAATTTTATTGCTAATGATGCTGTGTAGGGGTGAGTTAGAGCCATGAAATGAGAATACTTACTAAACTTGTCAACCACCACAAGAATCATTTTTTTCCCCTTGGACCTAAGCAACCCTTCAATAAAAATCCATGCTAATGTTAGTAAAAGGAGATTGTGGAATAGGTAAAAACCGTAGCATTCTAGGTGGTAACACATTCTCAGTCTTATGTATTTAGGAAGTGGAACATTCTATAACAAATTGCTTGATATTTTTTTGTTATTTCTTTTAGTAGAACAATTTACCAACCTTCTTTGCAGTCACTGTAGAACTAGAATGTTCACCCATAAAAGAATTGTGACATATGGATATTAGATCATTTAATAGGCTAGGGTTATTATCCACCACAATCTTCCCTTTTTCCTGTAAAGGATGTAATCTTTCCATTAATATAAAGAGTGTGAAACAAGGTTAGCCATTAGATCTTGAATTATATCCTTTACAATGAGATCATTTTCTGAAGTTTTCTTGAGTTTTTTCATGAGGTTAGTAGATATTAAAGTTATTACTAAAGCATTTAGTTCATTGCTAGATATTCTAGATAGACATCAACTATTATATTTTCCTTTCCCTTTCTATACTCAATACCATAGTCAAACCGTAGCAACTTAGTCAACCACAAGTGTTGATATAGGAAAGTTGTGTTTTGGTCTAGTAGATGTTTGAGGCTGCTATGATTTGTGCAAATTTTAAAGTGTTTCCCCCATAAGTAATGCCTCAATATAGTGATTGCTAGTAAGATGACCAACATCTCCCTTTTATAAGTAGAAAGTGTTTGCTATCCAGGACTAAAAGGATTGCTAATATAGGTTATAAGGTGTTTTTATTGCACTAGCACAACT